TCTATGTAGGTTGTCTCTCCTGAACATTCTCTATATAGGTCGTCTCTCCTGAACATTCTCTATGTAGGTTGTCTCTCCTGAACATTCTCTATGTAGGTTGTCTCTCCTGAACATTCTCTATGTAGGTTGTCTCTCCTGAACATTCTCTATATAGGTTGTCTCTCCTGAACATTCTCTATATAGGTCGTCTCTCCTGAACATTCTCTGTATAGGTTGTCTCTCCTGAACATTCTCTTTGTAGGTTGTCTCTCCTGAACATTCTCTGTGTAGGTTGTCTCTCCTGAACATTCTCTGTGTAGGTTGTCTCTCCTGAACATACTCTGTATAGGTTGTCTCTCCTGAACATTCTCTGTATAGGTTGTCTCTCCTGGACATTCTCTATGTAGATTGTCTCTCCTGAACATTCTCTATATAGGTCGTCTCTCCTGAACATTCTCTATATAGGTTGTCTCTCCTGAACATTCTCTATGTAGGTTGTCTCTCCTGAACATTCTCTATATAGGTTGTCTCTCCTGAACATTCTCTATATAGGTTGTCTCTCCTGAACATTCTCTATGTAGGTTGTCTCTCCTGAACATTCTCTATATAGGTCGTCTCTCCTGAACATTCTCTATGTAGGTTGTCTCTCCTGAACATTCTCTATGTAGGTTGTCTCTCCTGAACATTCTCTATGTAGGTTGTCTCTCCTGAACATTCTCTGTGTAGGTTGTCTCTCCTGAACATTCTCTATGTAGGTTGTCTCTCCTGAACATTCTCTGTGTAGGTTGTCTCTCCTGAACATTCTCTGTGTAGGTTGTCTCTCCTGAACATTCTCTATATAGGTTGTCTCTCCTGAACATTCTCTATATAGGTTGTCTCTCCTGAACATTCTCTATGTAGGTTGTCTCTCCTGAACATTCTCTATATAGGTTGTCTCTCCTGAACATTCTCTATGTAGGTTGTCTCTCCTGAACATTCTCTATATAGGTTGTCTCTCCTGAACATTCTCTATATAGGTTGTCTCTCCTGAACATTCTCTGTATAGGTTGTCTCTCCTGAACATTCTCTATGTAGATTGTCTCTTCAGTATGTGGTCTGTAGGACCGTGTTCCGTTGGTAATCAATACTTCACAGTTTTTTCCATTTCATTTTTTATGCATCCCGGGAAACAGACAAGTGTTCATCGAGATTATGTCGAGTCTTACAGCGAGCTGAGTTACACACAAATACCATTACAGTGAGTGTGACCTCACGACGCGAAGCATTTATAACAGCATTTCTATAGTCAAGTCACATGCATCCGGAGATTTTAGTTTTTTTATGTATATTCCATTTCCTGACTGGTCCTTCATAGACTGTAAGCTGCATACTTCACACCCCAGGCAGGTGCTCTCTGTTCTGTCAAAGTACTGTTCTGTTTGTTCCTGAAACTGCAGAAAGCGAAACGGATTTTGTGTGCACAAAGTCCACTTTTCGTACGCGGTTGTAGTTAAATATGTTTACTCTTAGTTAAATTATTTTCCTTGGAGTTTGTTATGAGAGTTATAGTTCAGGAAGGTCACACAAGGAAGCACTTTATTATCCTGCTCAAAACTGGAATAGAACAAACGAACAATTCTGAGAACAGTCTTCTTTTATCGTCTTCCCACCGAATCTGTTCTCTAATCTGTGTAATGCAAACTTAAATAATCTGTCTATTTTGTTGTTATCTCGACCACCTACACCTCAGAAACAGATCATTGTACGCGCAGTACAGTGATTCGGGGTAACGTGCTGAAAAACGTGTCTACCCTTCACCTACATGTACTCTATCTTACCACTGTTGTCACCTACACGAACTACCTACACGAGTCGATCCTCTAGGTCGGTGTTAACTGAGTCGATCCTCTAGGTCGGTGTTAACTGAGTCGGTCCTCTAGGTCGGTGTTAACGGAGTCGATCCTCTAGGTCGGTGTTAACTGGCTCGGTCCTCTTGGTCGGTGTTAACTGAGTCAGTCCTCTAGGTCGGTGTTAACTGAGTCCGTCCTCTAGGTCGGTGTTAACTGAGTCAGTCCATCTAGATCGGTGTTAACTGAGTCAGTCCTCTAGATCGGTGTTAACTGAGTCAGTCCTCCAGGTTGGTGTTAACTGAGTCAGTCTTCCATGTTGGTGTTAACTGAGTCAGTCCACCAGGTCGGTGTTAACTGTGTCAGTCCTCTAGATCGGTGTTAACTGAGTCCGTCCTCTAGATCGGTGTTAACTGAGTCAGTCCTCCAGGTTGCCGTTAACTGAGTCAGTCCTCCAGGTCGATGTTAACTGAGTCAGTCCTCCAGGTCGATGTTAACTGAGTCAGTCCTCCAGGTAAGTGACACCACGACACCAGTGAGGCATCTTTAATGTTCAACACACACGAGGCGGCGGTTAAACACAACACTTATTTCACGAGACCCGTGAAGATCCGGGGTAGAATAGGTCTTCAGCAAGCGATGCTTGTCTCCCCGTGAAGATCCGGGATAGAATAGGTCTTCAGCAACCCATGCTTGTCTCCCCGTGAAGATCCGGGATAGAATAGGTCTTCAACAAACCATGCTTGCCGTAACCGGCGACTAGGCTTGTAGTAAGAGGCGACTAACGGGATCGGGTGGTCAGGCACGCTGACTTGGTTGGTGCATGTCATCGTATCCCAATTATTTACAGACCGCCGTCATATAGTTGGAATATTGCTGAGTGCGGCGTTAAAAAACAAACAAACAATTTATTTCACGTCTTTATCAGCGTGTATGATGCGACCTTTTAGCTGCGAGTCTGATACCTGCCATTGATGTACATTGAATGGCTCTCAGTTGTAACGTGCTTCTTACTTCGTTCCCGGGTCAGGCACGGAACTGTGTGGACGTGCTGCAGCACAGAGACCACAGCACAGGTGTTACGGAGTCTTGTTGTGATGTCAGCTGATCCAGGAATACACGCCAGCAGCGTTTGGGAAACAGTACTGTATTGTTGATTTTATATTAACTTCATTACGCGAATGTGAGACGCTGTCATATTGCCTAGCACGACATTCGATTCGTATTGACTTAAAAGTCGTTGCCTGAAAGGGTAACACCCGCCTTTGTAACACAGAATACAATGTCGATACCGTCAAAAGCATGCGTGTATGCATGCCTGCTATCATACGTTTACAGGTGAGTCAGTGAGTGAGTGAGTGAGTGAGTGAGTGAGTGAGTCAGACCACGCATGTCGTTGATGTTTACATTATCACTATGAAGAATCTCATGAGCACTGGTATGCAGCGGTCAAACAGGCTTCACAATGACGATTTAACGAGCGCTTCAGTGAATATATTGTAGTATCGTGTTCTTTTGTTCGTTGCCTAACGCAACACTCAGCAATATTCCAGCTATATGACGACAGTCTGTAAATAATCGAGTCTGGACCAGTCAATTCAGTGATTGACATCCTGAGCATCGATCCACCAGCCGATCCCGTTTGTCGCCTCTTACGACAAGCATGAGTTGCCATTTACTGACCATCAATACCTTCACTTGATATATTGATGAGACTCACAGTCACACCCGGCGAGAGACTGGTATGATGATATCGCAAGGTAAACAGGTAAACAGGTAAACAGGTAAACTGAATGCTTCCAATACAACCGACCTTTTGTCACAACCGTTTCTTCCAAAGAACATAACTCCAAGACCGTGTCTCTCTATATAACATGACTCCAAGACTGTGTCTCTCTATAGAACATGACTCCAAGACTGTGTCTCTTTATAGAACATGACTCCAAGACTGTGTCTCTTTATAGAACATGACTCCAAGACTGTGTTTCTCTAGAACAGTACTCCAAGACCGTGTCTCTCAATAGAACTTTACTCCAAGACTGTGTCTCTCTAGGACATTATTCCAAGACTGCGTCTCTCTATAGAACTTTACTCCAAGGCTGTGTCCCGCTATAGGACATTATTCCAAGGCTGTGTCCTGCTATAGGACATTATTCCAAGTATGTGTCCTGCTATAGGACATTATTCCAAGTCTGTGTCTCGCTAAAAGAGATTATTCCAAGGTTGTGTCCCGCTATAGGACATTATTCAAAGGCTGTGTTCCTCTAAAGAACATTATTCCAAGGCTGTGTCCCTCTATAGGACATTATTCCAAGGCTGTGTACCGCTAAAGGACATTATTCCAAAGCTGTGTCCCGATATAGGATATTATTCCAAGGCTGTGTCCCGCTATAGGACATTACTCCAAGAATGTATCTCTCTGGAGTACGTTACTATAAACAAAAGAAACGAAGTCCTCATTTGTATAGCTCCTCGTTATCTAAATATATCTAAATGTCTGAAATATGTCGTTTGTTTTTTAAGGTATGACACAAAAACTTTATCTTCAGATACAAAAGGAGTTGAGAGCCCGCCTGGAATTACTTTTGAAGCTCTGCTGGGAAATCACCGACAGGGTCGAAAGCATTTAAGGTCAAAGGGAAGCAACTCCAATTCAGAGTAGTTTCAGGTGATGTATTGAAACGCTTCTATAAAAGTTTTCTACAGTTCTCTCCCTTGGATTAGAGAAATCAAGTTTGACATGTGTTATCTGAATTGATATGTGGTTTTCTGTGAAATAATTTACTGACAGATTAATAGTGACAGTATTGGATGTTTCAGGTGGAATAGATCAGCCGTACAGTGATCTACTGCAAACCGTACAGTGACCTGAATGTAGCACTATACTGGGTTTCAACATGGAGGACATACCTGGGAATTTCGGACCCTGACTCAAAGGATCTAAGCGGTTAAACAGCTGTTTATAACTGACTTATGTTTTTACTGTTGTTGCCATAAAGATTGTGATGCTGTTGATCACGGGTATGGCGTCGACATCCCAAGGATCACAATCAGGCCAAGCTGGTATTCGAACCTACGATCGGTAGATCCTGACACGGCTATGGGTCGTTCCTCTGCACGGCGAATTAATGCAACTCCACAAGACCACTGGATATCTGGGACCTGAGGTCACGTTGAATCGAGAACAAGTCATAGTTCATTAGTAATAACAGCTATAGTTTATTTCATAAATGTATCAACCGTGAACCTTGAACACGTCTATGACACTCCATCATTGTGACAACGTTAACAGAACAACACTCTCCTAGGTTCTAGTCTCTAACAACATAACGTGTTCTACTCTGCCCGGTGGCGTCTCCCGTGACGCGACACGACGTCACACCCTGTGCGACGTCAACCTTCACGACGTCAACCTGCACGACGTCACCCTGTACAACGTCACACTGTACGACATCATCCTCGTAGTAGCTGCCTTTATCGTGTACCATGTACGGAAGATGTCAAAACTTCATAATGCCATTTACAAAATTTCAAATATGTAAGTATGATTGCCAAAATATGCGAATGTAGAACGAGTTGGGTTGTACATAAAATAGAGTCATAATCAATAAGATTGTATTTGGCACAGACATTCCGTTGACCACATGTTTTAAAGTGGCACTTATAGGGTTTTTTCAACAACGTTTGAATTAATGCTGGTAAATCGGACAGGGTCAAATGTTATAATCGCACAGGTAAAAGTCATGAAAAGTGATTTGATCTAGAATCAATGATTTAATACAGTGTGTCTCGGCGTGTTTCCAAGGTGATCGTGCATGATAATTCTCATGATTTGACATTTTTCTTAAACTTGACCCTGAATAAGAGCAACCTTGAATAGGGTGACTGAGTATTGTTTTACGCCGCCTTTTGCAATATTCCAGCAATATCATGGCGGGGAACACCAGAAATGGGCTTCACACATTGTACCCATATGGGAAATCGAACCCGGGTCTTCGGCGGGACGAGCGAACGCTTTAACCACTAGGCTACCCCACAGCCCCTTTGAACAGAGACATATCACGTTGGTGCAAATAGACAATCTACCCGCACAAAAAAGTTGAGTAATCTTTAACATCACACAAACCTGTATTACCGTGACCTTGAGGAATACATCCTCTACGCTAATATCAATAACTATAAATAATAAGAAAGGAACCTTAGAGTAGTAATCTGATGTCCGACCATTATATACAATCCCCTTTCAGCATATTGACAGTGGACTTCTTTGCTTCGCGTCATTCATTGGAGAAGAGTCTCAAGAGAACAAGGAAGAAGACTACATGTCAATTGCTAGGTATTAAACAAGAAATATCAATAAGTAGATCGATGAAATAACAAAACAATTCTATAAAACCAAATTGGTTGTCATAAAACGCTTAAACTACAATGAAAACATTTCGGTTATCGATTTAACACGCGTATATTGTTTCGGCGAATAAAGAACGTGCAGATTAATTTACACTTTCTGTGATATTCATGAACGTCATGTATAACATTGAAACAGTTTTTTTAAATTAAAGTTAAAACAGAAATGTACATCAGATAACAAACACACTGTTATTAATACACAGGTGGGTATCTATCTCACCTGACAACTGCTCAACGGTAAAAGTTACAATACAAACTATGTAACCAAGGTAACGGGAAGGGATGTTTGTACAGCTGTGGTTTCCCTTGCACATATCGTTGCAGGGTGTCAATACAGCTCCGTTCGAAATGACTGGGCAAGTCTTTGTAAGAATATAGAACGTAAGACATGTAACTTATCTCGGAGATTTACTGTCAAAGAGAAAGCTAAAATGGCCGTTGTTTTCCATAAAGAGCTTTCATTATGTATTAAGAATTTTATTTAATATCGATTTTTTAAGGTTTGTGTGACATCCTTCTTGTTTTGTCTACGGATTTTGATAGTGGATGATTTGATCGGTATCTAAAAGAAATTAAAAAGTAAAAAATCATGCTTGATTTTTTTAATCATCTTAAAGTTTGATTTAGTTCGATGGTTCTAAAAAAAGAATAAAATACCTTGGCCTGGTTTGGGTCTTTGTATTATAAATCTAAAATCTGACAGCGACATTTCATTGTCATTTTTTTATCAAAGCAATCTTTACCGTTGGCGATAGTATAAAAAATACTTGCCATTCTGCTTCTTTTTTTGTTTTTTTTCCCAAATTTTCGACTTTTCAGGTGGGCTTACCGTAAACCAAGTACCAACATTTGAGGCCTGTCGTGGGAGGGTACTGCTGTGTACCATCATGTGAGGCCTGATGTGGGAGGGTACTGCTGTGTACCAACATGTGAGGCCTGATGTGGGAGGGTACTGCTGTGTACCAACATGTGAGGCCTGATGTTGGAGGGTACTGCTGTGTACCAACATGTGAGGCCTGATGTGGGAGGGTACTGCTGTGTACCAACATGTGAGGCCTGTCGTGGGAGGGTACTGCTGTGTACCAACACAGGCATGGACTATGTTCATCACTTAACAAAGCAGCGCCCAGACATTTGAACCGGACCTATACTCCGCCCTGTTGTTTACAGTCATGACAACGTACCAGTTCACTTTCACGCACGATGAATGTGAATTATGGACAAAATGGCGATGATGAATTGATTTTTTTCTCCAATATCAGGTCACACTACAGTCATTAAACTCACGTGACAATAACCACAGGATCAGACACACTGGACTTTTCATCCGTTCAGACCTGTGACGTACGTTTAGACCAATGACGTTCAGACCTGTGACGTACGTTTAGACCTATGACATTCAGAGCAGTGACGTACACTCTGTACGTTCAGACCTGTGACGTACGCTCTGTACGTTCAGACCTGTGACGTTCACACTGTACGTTCAGACCTGTGACGTACACACTGTACGTTCAGACCTGTGACGTTCACAATGTACGTTCAGACCTGTGACGTACACACTGTACGTTCAGACCTGTGACGTTCAGACCTGTGATGATTATTCTGTACGTTCAGGCCTGTGACGTACGCTCTGTACGTTCAGACCTGTGACGTTCAGACCTGTGACGCACAAACTGTACATTGAGACCTGTGACGTACTCTCTGTACGTTCAGACCTGTGACGTACACACTGTACGTTCAGACCTGTGACGTACACACTGTACGTTCAGACCTGTGGCGTACACTCTGTACGTTCAGACCTGTGACGTACACTCTGTACATTCAGACCTGTGACGTACACTCTGTACGTTCAGATGTGTGACGTTCAGACGTCCCGCCAGTCATGTAATGTTCTAACAATGGCGTCATTGTGATAGCAGGCCGTCTACAGAGGGTTAAAATATCATATATTTAAAAGGTGAAAAAGAAATCATTATATTTCACGTCAATTACATATATAACAAGAATACAGATTTAATAAAAAGATAATAAACACGGGATGTTAACGTTATGTGGCCATGTTAACATGCAGTGATTGGAAGAAGAAGACTGTGGTTGCCCTGAACAGTAACATCGGTGAAACTTGATGACATAGGAGAGACGGGTGATATTATACTGGCTGCCATTGGTCGAAAGGTGTCATATTTATAGACATCCCGTACTCCTACAAGGAGATGTCCTAACAGTACGATTATCGTAAAGACAGCTTGACGCTGCATCAGTGGATGGTGTCGCTTCAATCAACATGATCCGCAATCATGACACACACTGTGTCGAATGAATAACAACAATTAAAATTTGGAAATGGAAACAGTTTTTGGCAATTCTCCATCCTGATAGTCCCTGCAGACTAAGATATGTAAGTGTATACTAAAGTATATTTCACTGCCCAAATTTGCATATGGTGGCAAGCTGGTATAATACTGACTTGAGTGGTTAAAGCACCTATAACATCCCTGAAAGGTAACGGTATACCGTGGCAGGTGCACGCTCTTCTGATTTCGTCAGAAGTCATAGCAACTATTTGACTTGAACGGCAAGCTACTGTTAAACTGTTTATGTTGCAATATTTGGCACTGGTGTCGCGATAACATTTAAGCCCATATTAAATTTTGCAAAATTTAAATTAATCTTAAGCATCACTGCGAATTAAATTAACATTGCTTTCAAGCCGAGCTGCTGTTCAGTTTAGTGTCATTGAATTGTTAAAGTTTAAATGCTGTCCCTGATAAGGTCATAGTATGACAGTTCGTACGGGATAAATATTGAGAAATGGTTTTGAGACGGAGTCACATTTAAAGTTAATATGACACGTGAGAACCCAAGACAATAATCTGCCGCGAGAGGCGTGATTGCTATTCTCCAGTGAGTTGACTTGGCAGTAGACTTGACCTACTTTCATCACAGCGACTCGACTCGGTAAGATATCATCGCGGATTTATTGAGCAGAAATCATGGAGGATTCACCGGTCATAGGCGATTAAACGGACGACCGAAAGGACTGAGAAAGATCAAATTTACGCATGATTACATTTCAATTAAAGTCTATTGGCAATGACAGGAATCAAGTCACCAAGTTGTCACGTTACCATGGTTACGTATATATCTCATCAAGTGCATGAGGCAGAAATATTGTCAAGAGAGCCCATCTAAGCTTATTAATGGACCGGAAATAACGCGGCCGCCATCTTGACTGGTGACGGCTTCTCTGATACGCACCGCAGGGGCAGATGCAGTCGGTTCTTTTCAATACCGATATTAAAGATACTTAGATCATTGATATTTATAAACGAAAGTTGTTATTTTAGCCAATAAGAGAACAAGTTCAACAAAAAACACACACACACATCTATTGAAGACTAGTTAACTGCAACACGAAGGCAGGGTCACTGTGACGTAACACTGATATGAGCTAATGTCTAGATGATGCAACAGTATTGACTTTAAGGACGAACTATAAACACATCTATGCGAGAGAGGACTTGCTGACAAGACTTGTAATAATCGGAGTTAAGGTGAGCTATTTGTATGTCACACTATGTACAACCTCACAATGAGAGCAGCGCGTTCCTCGTACAGTCCGTCAAACATTGGACATACTGTACACACAGCGTAACCTAGGCCACGCGGTGCTCTCATCGTCAGTAGGTGGCGAAGTTTGGAATTTTTGGAATTTGTCACTTCCAACATGCAGCTGTGTCACGGTTTCTGTAAAGTGTCTACGTTTATCGATATAATATTTAATAATTTTATTTACCTGTGTTGATGCTAATCCTCACTATAAAGGCTGTGAAGACGTTATAGAGAGCCTACGGTGGGACGGTCTCGCGTCTGTTTTAAGCATTAACATTGTGAACAGTTGGTGTCATCACTGATTTTCAGAGGTCCTTTCATATATTTTCCACAGCTATTTGCCCTTTAGGCTAAGTGGAATCTGTTTAGGCAGACAATCTAGGCTGGTTATTCTCTTGCATTGACAATTTATATTTCTATGAGCTTAGTGATATCTCATTTTAGCTAGATTCAATTACATAAACAAGGAAGTGAATTGTGTTCACATTCTATCAACGTTTGACTGTCTTTCAAAGCATGGCCGTTAACCATAAGTATGTTCAAGAGTATAGGGCCAGTAACACGTGCCAACGGTGTTACACAGATTATTGTCATATGGTTGTGAGAGTGGACGAGACCACTATGCTCTGGTATTGTTGTGGTGTGATACCAAATATATTATGTTGTGTGCCGCTGCAGCTGGTATTGTTGTGGTGTGATACAAATTATATTATGTTGTGTGACGCTGCAGCTGGTATTGGTGTGGTGTGATACAAGATATATTATGTTGTATCACCCTGCAGCTGGTATTGGTGTGGTGTGAAACAGAATATATTATGTTGTGTCACGCTGCAGCTGGTATTGGTGTGGTGTGAAACAGAATATATTATGTTGTGTCACCCTGCAGCTGGTATTGGTGTGGTGTGAAACAGAATATATTATGTTGTGTGACGCTGCAGCTGCCATTGGTGTGGTGTGAAACAGAATATATTATGTTGTGTCACGCTGCAGCTGGTATTGGTGTGGTGTGAAACAGAATATATTATGTTGTGTCACGCTGCAGCTGGCATTGGTGTGGTGTGAAACAGAATATATTGTTGTGTGACAATGGACATCGGGAACTATACACTGGATATTTCTTTCATCTCCTGGATACAAAAACAAAATGTATATGTCGATATTTGTAAAAAGTAAATGAACACTATCTGTAGAAAACCACGGACAATTCTACAGACGTGGGATCGGCCGTGGAGGCTTGTCTGTCACTGGTTCTGACAGTGTATAGACGGCACTATAGCTAGGTAGAGGTCTGAACGTGTATCTCGTTTGTCTTCATGACCAGGGGATTTCATTACTCAGCAAGGAGTAGACACAGACATGAAGCTGGCTGTATTGGAAGAAAGAGTCTCGACCATGCATTGTTAATTTAAACACGTTAACTGGAACCTCTGTGTCACGCTTCCTTTACATCTTTATACATGACAATATGTCCTCGTTATATAAATCAAAGAGTTTTGACTTTTGAGAATACAGCCATTCCTGAACTCTCATTCTGACCTCAGCATTAAATATGTTTAGTTTTAATTTTTTGTTTTGAGGAAACACTGCTTCTTGGGACCTAATTATACATGATAAGTTGGATTTGGCCAGATTTATACATATGATCTGGAATATTATAAGAACTATTTTGGTGTGATATAACATGATAAGTTCCATTACCATTTTATCCAAACGCATTGAGCAAGCAAATGGATAGAAACCTCTCCAAGACCATTTGAACCACTTCAGTTACACTTTGTATTATTAACCTATTGACTGTCATATTGACAGAGAATGTACCGAATATCCTAGTCCAAACAGTTGTAGTTAAAACTTATTGTATAAATCTATTGTTAAACCTTATTGTATAACGTTACACTTTGTCATATATATCCACTGACTGTTATAAAGCCAGTGGGTTGACGGCGGATGTAACTATTGCCCAGGGGGCTAGGTGTGACAGTTGGCCCGTGACCCCCTCCGTGGGGACCCCTTCCAGCAGTTGTAGTTGACGGACTCCTCGGACAGACACCTGTTGCCTCTGTATGCCTGGCTGAACAGGTGGATCTTCCCCTCGTGTTGGTCCAGGTAGTTGTACAAGTAGTCGTCGGCAAACCGCAGCATCTGCCTCAGACTGAGCAGCGCGGGAATGTCCACGTTCTGGTCCAGCTCCATCTCCTTCTCGTAGTTCTTCACGGGAAGCACGTGCGCACGTGGCAGGCCGACCAACTGCGCCACCTGGTCCACTAGTTCCCCGACTGTTGCGCTGCGGAAGATCTGGGAGAGGTCGCTCTCTACCAACAAACAGGCGCGGTCTACCTTCGTCAGGAGAACAACCTGGGGAATACCTGAAATGAAATTAGAATCCACATCCAGAACATTTAAAAAGCCACGCGATATACCATGGTCAGATTGAGACCAGGACCCCATTGCACAAAGCGGTCTTCGGGCTACGACTCATAAAGAGCATGAGAGTTACGATCGCCTTAGTGCTAAGATCCCTTTGTGCAACGGGGCCCAGATATATTAGTCATTTCCAAGCCTCCTCTGTTGCTGGTCTTAAGACGGGACTTAAGGGATCGGGTGGTAAGGTGACTTTATTGATTGCGTGGTATCGTACCCCGAGTGGGTCCAATACCTCAACACTCGAGTTCTTACAGGCCGCTGAGACATATCTGGAATATTACTGACGCGACAGAATTTATCTTACAATATCTCCCCAAATGTCACAAAATGATTCGTGCTTTTTGACATCCTACATTGTTGACCAAACCAGACGTCTTTACTTCAGTAATGATGAAAGGTACGTCCATCAATGACTGTCCAAAGTCTACGTACCTCTCTGGTTGGCTCGCTGCTGTATTGACTTGATGGTTTGTAGAATCTTGTCAGGGAAGACATCCACGGTACAGCCGTCGAGGACGAAGGCGATGCAATGGATCTTGTCGGCTAGGATCGGGCTTTTCTTGTAGCCGGCCGAGTCCGGGGAAATGGGCACTGCAGGGTTGAACTGAGGAAGGAACACAACATGAACAGACTGAGTTCGACGATGCAGGTGTCATGGTAGAACTGGTTTGTTGGATGATTGGTTGGTTGAGTGAGTGATAGGATGGTGAAATGGGTGAGTGAAAGGTTGGGTGAGCGGTTGAGTGAGTGAGTTAGTTTCTACTCCGCTTTTAGGATTATTCCAGAAGTATCCCGGCGATGATATCTCACAAAGCAGAGGCTTAACGTTGTTTTCCCATAAAGGGAAACGAGCCGGTTCTTCAATGTGACGAACGAATGCTTTAACCACCAAATAACACTCAACCGCCCGTTTTAAACGAAGAAAATATCCGCATGTTGAAATGGGGACGTGGTCCCATGTGGCAGTCTCCCTTAATGGGAGTAAAGACACTTTGGCACCTTTCCATCAATACAAACGATCGGAGACTAGTTTGTCTATTGATCCAGGTGTAGATGTATTTGGAACCTTTTCTTGTACAATATTGACCATTAACCTCACATGGTCGTCAATACGTCATTACCACAAACAATTAATCTGAAGTAACATGAATCACTAAAAAGGCTTACAATATTACTAAAACATTTACAGCAAAACATTTATCGAAAACGTGAGACAGTGTATACACGGATCAGGTGTTGTATTGAGATTGCATGGACTTTGTTCTTGGCCTCATCACGAGTTGCACTGACCTGGTATCTGAGTTGCACTGACCTGGTATCTGAGTTGCACTGACCTGGTATCTATCTGGCAGATGTCCGTCCAAGATGGCGACAAGGTCACTGTCGTCCATGCCCTGCCCTTCTTCCAGTCCACGTGTATCACACAGCCGGAACTTGAGGGGCATGCACGACTCCGAGGACCGCACCTTGTACATGCGGAACTAGAACAGACAAGTGCCTCGTTACAGTTAACACTTCATCCACCTGACCTGTTACCATAGCAACTGTTCGTATGCGTACAACCTTTCCATGGCGTATGCAAAAGCATTGATATATTATTCTAAAAAAAAATTTAAAAAGTAAAATAAATAGTGTAAATAAATCATGTATTGTTTCAATTAATATTCAATGAAACCTTCAAGCCACACAACCGTATGTGCATTATAAACATAAACAACGATTCATATAATATTTACACTAAACGTATACATATTTAATTGCATTGGCCTTTTACTTGCGCGAATGCTCTATGAATCTATGGAATATTCAACAGATTCAATATCTAAATTGTCGCAAAGTATAATTAGGTTTGGCAAAAAGATTATAAACGCTATAAAACGTCACGGGGCTGAAAACAGTCGTGGAAACACTGCAAGCCTGAGGTCCAAAGCACAACTGTGATACCCGTATCAAATACAGCACCGTCGAATAATCATTTCTTGTTTCTTTCAGTTAAAGCCACCATCCAACAGGGTGTATACTTTCTTTCCATCGACAGTTTATTAGAATATAGCCAAAACAAGAGAGACCGTAATATTTGTGTTACTACGCCCACTTTGAGATTTACGGTATCAAGCCCGTAGTAGCGTTTCTTACAGTGTGGAAGTAGGACCTAAACATACACTTTTGTCGCGTAGCCCGTTATCCCATGTCATCAATGGCTCTGATTCAGAGGGGCGGTCGGGTAGCCTAGTGGTTAAAGCGTTCGCTCGTCACGCCGAAGACCCCGGTTCGATTCCCGACATGGGTACAATGTGTGAAGCCCATTTCTGGTGTCCCCCGCCGTGATATTGCTGGAATATTGCTAAAAGCGGCGTAAAACCATACTCACTCACTCACTCTGATTCAGAACCTCCACGGGAGCCATACCAAGGACAACACTAAAAAGCATGTCGTGCATATGGAATTGCATTGAGTCTAAATTTGGTTTTGCAGCACACACAGATAAAAAAATCGTTGGAAAAAGGTGGTGGTTGGACGGACCTGCCGCTGGGGCCTGGGTCCGTATTGCCTCACCACGACTACTACACCACGCCAAGCAATATCAGAGCCGACACTTCCATGGAAATGTTGCTCATCGTCCATCTTGTTCTGTTGTCCTTCCACTCTACATCTCCTCCAGGACCCCGACAACAATCCCGCCATCATTCAGTAGTGCCATTGATCAACTCTCAACACTCACGCTGCTCTTTTATATGTTACGTTCACCAAGACTTCTTTCCCCACTGCCGACACCGAGGTTTGGTTTTATAGCAAATTACATGAAACCAATCCAGAATGATGTATGAAAGCGTGCATGGTTTCTGGTAAAGCCCGATTAGACTGCTGCTATTGATTGTAGCTGTTTCCACCTCCAGGGGCGCTGGACATCGCCATCAGATGGAATATACTTCATGGGCAATGTTCCCGACGGGAATCAATGAGTACATGGCCTGCTATTATCACGGCTAACTGACAGTCCTCCCGGTTAACTCCTACAAACAACAGATATGTCGGTAGAACATACACTGTAGAATATGCTATGCCGCGTACGGATCTGTTACTGCAAGCGGCTCAAGGCTTTATTGCAGAAATACTTAAATGTCACAGGCCTATACACATCTGTATGGGTAGCAGATGTACACAAATAATGTTGAATGTTTATTTCACTTGGCTTATCATTTGTTAATTTCACTGCAGGTAATATATAAGCTGTTAAGGACATTAATACATTGATATTTACAGACGACATTAATTCAATAAACGTTAATATATTTGAATGGAGCTTGGTATTACAGAGAAGACTTTGATGAAACGGATACATGAGTACAAAGTGGTATTTGTCATATCTGAATTGTAAATTACATATTTTACACAGTCTGAATTCCTTCGGGATTTTGATAGATCTTCCTGTTTCAATATTTGAGGCCTAGTGTTTAAAGCGTTCGCTCGTCACGCCGAAGACCTGGCCCATTTCTGGTGTCCCCCGCAGTGATATTACTGGAATCTTGCTAAAAGTGGCGTAAAACCATCCTCGCTCACTAACTCACTAAATCTGGAAAATGCAGTTCTATTCTGAGTCTATATTGAGTCGCATTATTTACTTGGAGTCAGCAGTCGTATTAATTTGGAGACCCCTTAATTTTAAGGTTTACGGTATTTATTAGCTAAGCTACACGGTGGGATTACATCCATTTTTGTAAGAAACTGACCCACTTGATGTACGACATGTGTACCGTCTCAAAAGCAACATTGCCACTGTGAGTTACATGTGTTACCCAAGGTCGAGGGATGTACAAGAACGCCCGTAAAATCCCGTACCCCGCAACTCACACATGTAACGAATTTATCACAGCGAGTTCACAAGGAACAAATATGAAATGATAGCTATCTTGAATGGCAATTCAAAGTACGAAGATGACCAATAATGACGAAGTGAGGTCATCAGTACATGCTGGCCAGTCGAATGGTTCTTTACAAAACGGCGACTTGCCAATCAGATTGCTTGATTCTGTTTCGAACAAGGAGTGAGTGAGTTGGGTTTAACGCCGCTTTTAACAGTATTCCAGTTATATCACGGCGTGTCAGCTTTATGTGGGAGGAAAGCCCGAAGTGATGCAGGTCTCAGACGTTTACCACTCCAGTGAAACGCACGAGCACGGGTATGGTGCTGACAAACATAATCGGTTCGAACCGGGATTCGAACCCACAATCATAGGTTTCTGGCGTGCCCAAGGGACGCAACTCTGCACAGCGAATCGCGGCGCCTTGGACGACTGGGCCACCCGTGCCCCCTCGAATAAGGATACCATTACAGGCGGGATCTGTGTGGTGAGGTATCGTACAGAAATGTGTGGATTGAAGGTTACTGAGTATACATATTTGTAACATTCAGGCATACTTCATGAAATAGATACAAGATACCTAGTTCCTGGGAGAGAACGGACGACGACTACTACGTCTGTACGACGTTTGGCGGCTTCCTTCTCCTTGTGGAGACATGACATAAAGTAGACAGATAATTTGCCACTTTGTCATCCCGAGGTCTTCTAGTCTCCCAATAGCATGTGGGTGTCTATCAGTCCTGTTTTTGCTCTCGGACCCATGAAGATCCGGGTTGACATAGGTCTTCAGCACCCCATGCTTCCCGTAAGAGACGATTATGCTTGTCGTAAGAGGCGACCAACGGGATCGGGTAGTCAGGCTCGCTGTCTTGGTTGATGCTTGTCATAGATCCCAATTGCGTGGACCGCCGTCATATAGCTGGAATATTGCTGCGTATGGCGTTAAAAAACCAACCAACCGCCCAACTTAACCTATAATCATCTTGATCTCTCTCTTGAATGCAATTTTTTTATACTGTTAATCTTCCACCTGCCATATATATTCTGAACCATGTTCATCACTCAGATAAGTCCCAAAGAGGGACAGGACAGCCGAAATTGCTAAGGCGACCTCTTAAGCACTAAAGCAACAAACGTCGCCTCTACAGTAAAATACAGAAGGTGTTATCCATAAATTGTCTACTTATTTCTCAACTGCTAAGACATTCCTACCAAACAAGACATAGTATCAGTCAGTGTACGTGGTGTGGCATTGCTCTCATATCAACCCTTCATTTCGTTCACAGTTTCTATATTGCGTCAATCATCACACTGTCCAATCCCCTACTCCTACTCTGCTAGCTAATCCCGGAAGTGTCATGCCGACTCACACCAGAGTGACATCCGTACCGCCACAGTGTCAGTGTTCCGGGGTAATGTATCTGGCGGTAATCTCTCAAACAGATAAAAACGTACAAGATAAATAAGCAACACAGAGAAAAATATAACTGTGATACGTTATTATTTAATCGATGCTCCAATCAGCGTGTCTCATTACCACCGCCGGCCGCCAGGCCCCATGGTGGGAAACAGCGTGCAGTCAAACAAACAGGTTAATCATTATCCAGTGATAGCGTTTATGCCTCTTTTCCCCATGTCCCCAATGTTAGCGATAACCACGTCAATAAACTCTGGCTGTCGGCCTTTCTGCAGAGTGTACTGGAATTTAAGGGAAGGAAAACCTAAAGCAAATATATATGATATACTGGTGATCAGCTGGAGATAATTGTGAGACGATTCCTCTTGAGAACTCGAACTCAAGTTCACAAAACCAGAAAAATAATTCTGAGGCAAACGATTTGTAAATGATAGTCGCCAAAGCATGCGGTAAGATACTCTATTTCAGAAACGTGTCCTAATAACTTTTAAAAGCCTTCTAATTTCATCTTTTTCTGAAATCCAGAACCAGTTCCCGACTGACATGGACAGCCTCCACGACCGGGAGCTAGACACCCACCCTTCTGTTAATGCCCTGCTCGTAAAAATGTTGAATTCCTGTTTCCGGTGTTTTCCAACTTACCATGGTAGTTAGGCTATGTTCGGCACTTCCGCTGCAGGCCTGACTCGTCACGTGACCTCTAAATATGGAGTTAATGGTGTTGAAGTAGCTGGACTTGCCGGCCCCGACGGCCCCGATCATCAGGATGTTGACATTGTTCACCTTAAGGCCTCCGAGCGGTGCATACAGGTCAATGTAGGACTTGAGTGCCTGGAAACACACAGATTATGCCCATAAATATCGTTGAAAGGGATAAAAAAAACTACATCGTGTGGACCGCCAGCGCAAACCAATACACTTACATGTATATGTATCCATTGTGTGACTCTTTGTTAAACTGACCCGTGAAGATCCAGGTAGAATAGTTCGTCAGCAACCCATTCTTGCCGTAAAAGGCGACTAGGCTTGTCGTAAAAGGCGACTATGCTTGTCGTAAGAGGTGACTAAGGGGATCGGGTGGCCAGGTTCGATGACTTGGTTGATGAATGTCATCATATTCCAATTGCGCGGATCGATGCTCATGATGACAATCACTGGATTGTCTGAACCAGACTCGATTATTTCCAGTGTGCTACTGTCAGTCAATGTATGAACCATTCATTACCACTGTCTGAACCGTCGTGTGTACCATTGTCAAACCATTGTGCGTTTTCTTTATGTGAAGGTGACGAGTATTCTTAATTGTTCAGTCCATGTAATACTGTCTTCGCAGGGTATGGGTTTTTCTTCCATCAACACTCAGACTACGTATGTATGCATGCGAAGCATCTGATAGCGCATGACATAGTGTAACGTGTACGTTTGTCATGCATCTATGCACATATGAGGAAGATGTGTAGTGTTTACAAATATGGAAGAAAATCGATGAAGGACTTGAATGGTCCTTTATGGGATTGATGCTTTCATTGTGTTTCTTTGTATGATGCAAAGGCCAAGTGAAACATCCACTGTTGATTTAAGCAAGCGCAGTTAACATGAAGTAGGAGAAGTATTGATATAGAACTTATCTCTGGAAACAGATACATTAGAAAGAATAAGTGGAAGTGGTCTGAGGAAAGTAAGACGCCGTCGGAATGATCTGTGTCAGAAATTGCCCCATATACAACATAAGCAAGATTGACCAACTCGTATCACTACAAAGCCCCGAGGCCTGCGCCCGGTACCTGCTCTGACAGACTGGATCGTATATCGTCTGACAGACTGGATTGTATATCGTCTGACAGCCTGGATCGTATATCGTCTGACAGCCTGGATCGTATATCGTCTGACAGACTGGATGGTATATCGTCTGACAGACTGGATGGTATATCGTCTGACAGCCTGGATGGTATATCGTCTGACAGACTGGATGGTATATCATCTGACAGACTGGATGATATATCGTCTGACAGACTGGATGATATATCGTCTGACAGACTGGATTGTATATCGTCTGACAGACTGGATGGTACATCGTCTGACAGACTGGATGGTACATCGTCTGACAGACAGGATTGTATATCGTCTGGCAAAATGGATCGTTCATCGTCAAACAAACTGAAATGGTTCATCTGAATGATACATTTTCTGACAAGCTGGATGGAACATCGTCTGAAAAACTGAAATGGTTCACCGTCAGGCAGACTGAAGGCCACTTCGTTTGAATGGTTCACCCCGTCTGACAGACTGAAGGATACATCGACTGAGGTTTTCGGTTTAATGGCTAGGATACATCAATAAAGTAAACCGCTGTCTAAAAAGTGGCACGGCACATCGATTTGTAACGTGCTTGAGGAGCGAGATAGACAATCACTGACCTATTCATTGGGTCGGTGAGCACGTTTCAATGATTAGCAGCATACGCACTGGTGGCTCCATCAACTCCACTGGCTCCACAGAGACTGAGTGCCATGGATAGGTGGAACATCGCATTTAGTTTTGTCTGAACAACTAGGGGATATTGTCGAACGTGTAATCATATCGTGGTGTCGGCAGTTGCAATGCTATAAGATGAAAGTAAGTCCACCTGGCAAGTTCCATCTGTTGCAACATCAACTGATCTCACTGATATCGAGTCCAGGTGTTGCAACACCGTCGGATCTGACTGATAGCAAGTCGCCCCGTAAAGATCCGGGGTAGAATAGGTCTTCAGCAACCCATGCTTGTCGTAAGAGGTGAATGACGGGATCGGGTGGTCAGGCTCGCTGACTTGGTTGATGCATCTCATAGTATCCCAATTGACTAGATCGATGATCATGATATCAATCACTGGTTGGTCTGGTCCAGACTCGATTATTTACAGACTGCCGTCATAAGCTGGACTATTGCTGAGTGCGGCATTAAACAACAAATAAACAAACAAATAATAGCAAGTCCACGTGTTGTACCACCATCTGATCTCACTGATAGCAAGTCCACGTGTTGTACCACCGTCTGGTCTCACTGATAGCAAGTCCACGAGTTGTACCACCATCTGATCTCACTGATAGCAAGTCCACGTGTTGTACCATCATTTGGTCTCACTGACAGCAAGTCCACGTGTTGTACCACCATCTGGTCTCACTAATAGCAAGTCTACGTGTTGAACCACCATCTGGTCTCACTGATAGCAAGTCCACGTGTTGTACCACCATCTGGTCTCACTCATAGCAAGTCCACGTGTTGTACCACCATCTGGTCTCGCTGATAGCAAGTCCACGTGTTGTACCATCATTTGGTCTCACTGACAGCAAGTCCACGTGTTGTGCCACCATCTGGTCTCACTAATAGCAAGTCTACGTGTTGAACCACCATCTGGTCTCACTGATAGCAAGTCCACGTGTTGTACCACCATCTGGTCTCACTCATAGCAAGTCCACGTGTTGTACCACCGTCTGGTCTCACTGATAGCAAGTCCACGTGTTGTACCACCATCTGGTCTCACTGATAGCAAGTCCACGTGTTGTACCACCATTTGGTCTCACTGATAGCAAGTCCACGTATTGTGCCACCATCTGGTCTCACTAATAGCAAGTCTACGTGTTGAACCACCATCTGGTCTCACTGATAGCAAGTCCACGTGTTGTACCACCATCCGATCTCACTGATAGCAAGTCCACGTGTTCTACAACCATCTAGTCTCACTAATAGCAAGTCTACATGTTGAACCACCATCTGGTCTCACTGATAGCAAGTCTACGTGTTGAACCACCATCTGGTCTCACTGATAGCAAGTCCACGTGTTGTACCACCATCTGATCTCACTGATAGCAAGTCCACGTGTTCTACAACCATCTGGTCTCACTAATAGCAAGTCCACGTGTTGTACCACCATTTGGTCTCACTGATAGCAAGTCCACGTGTTGTGCCACCATCTGGTCTCACTAATAGCAAGTCTACGTGTTGAACCACCACCTGTTCTCACCGATAGCAAGTCCACGTGTTGTACCACCATATGGTCTCACTGATAGCAAGTCCACGTGTTGTACCACCATCCGATCACGCTTCATATTGTCAAGTCCACGGGCTGCAATACTAGTATGAATCTGATCTCACTGATATCAAGGCTACGTCTGATCTCACAACCACTAGCCAGGTCCACGTGTTCTAACACAGTTGATCTCACTACTTGTCGTGAATAGTCAGTTGGTCACCAGCGGAAAAGAGGCTTAGTTTAGATTTTCGTTCCCACATTTTCCTGTATACCCCAAACCTTTTCTATTGCAGAAAGGAGGTATCTGTACCCAATTCTCATGGGGTAGTAAACTTGCAAGTGTGTGCGTGAATGTTCAGGGGGTCAAAATTGCATTAATTGAAGGGAAAATGCATAATTTGACAACATTGGCTGTAACATTTTTATTAAGTCATTAAACTATCTAAATTATGTCTTTGATTACAGGTACTATGTTCGGTTATCTGAATTTGGCAAACATTTTGTTTCATATAACTGTTATTCTAATTCGAATTGGGACAATAAAACCACTATAACTGGGTATTAAAATCTGCCTGAACCATTGTACTATCCTATACAGAAACCAAAATGAAAATATATTACATAGGGGCTGAGATATTGTATACAATGTTTACCCACCCCCAAAAACCAATCTTGACGAAAACTGCTTATTGAGATATGGCGGTAGATTATGTTGATGTAGTGGATGAGTGGAATAATTAGTAAACTCATAAAGAAAAATGATGTTTCAAGTTTTTCTGTGAACATCTACGGTGGCCATCTTCACGTTCTTCCCGCTGCTCTTACTATGAGACTATTTGGACAATTCTACATTTCTCCAAATAGCCATCTGCGATAACGCATCAGTCACATCCTGTTTTAAATTAGACCTTTGTCTTTCCAACCATAATTACATTATTTACGCGTCAGTGATCAGTCAACTATTCCATAAAACATTCCAACCGCTGAAAGAAAAATCTAATGTTGCTGCTCTTTCGAGGATGATAAATCAGCAATTTCACGACCCAATTAATATCCTCGTTAAGGGTCTACATTATCACGTCATGGCCCCAATCGGTCATATTTAGCATATATGATATTTGAGCTACATAACACTTGCCCTAATGGAGGCGTCGGGTGACATTTATACGCTGTTGCAGTGCCATTAAGCGTAGCAGCCATTTGCACATACACACAAGGCTGAGTTATATTGCAAAGAATTATGGCTTGCACATGAAAGTCGATTCATTCGGAAGAGGAGCGAAAGCATTACGATGCTTGGGAGATTAAATGCACCCAGCCCGGTCAAACATCAAACCGGATCCCTTGCAGCTCACAGACCCGGCATATTACAGAGGACGTTACGCAAACAGGAACGCTTTCCTGGAATATTTATCGACCGTTTTATCCCCAATTTAGAACTTAGGGATTTATTCAATTATCAATGAGAATATTTATGGCTAATTTCAAAACTCATAATCAGACATACCAATTATTTAGATTATCTGTTTATTAATCGATGCATTCTGGGAACGTTATATTCGATTGAGAGGGGAAGTGGTCAGCTAAAGGTCGGCGTTATATGTTGACTGCAGTGTGTTCTATCATGTCGTTCAAGTCATTTTGTATACTCATTATAGTTGCTGCTTGCCACAACGAGTTGATTATTGTTTTCTGTGAAGGAAATATATTACATTATCGTCGCAAACAGGCAATTTCCCGGTAATGATCCCAGAGACTGGCTATACTCGCTCTATGTATTAGAATGTGAGTTAAGGCTACCCAGTCAATAACAACCAGCTTTGTCCGCCACGTATTTCGATCATGCTATAATACAGCTTGTTACAGACGCGGTGTTCAGGTGGAGCGAGGGATGAACCATTGGCGATATATCAGAGTATATCACACAACAGATATATCTTCAACAGATCATTAATGACGGAATGCTCCTGGATATCTCCAGCAACGTGAAGGGCGGCACGACAGATCGTCATGAACCGGATTTACCGTACCACACGCCAAAGTATTATTGTTCTATATGTGGACGCAATGGACGCGTTTGATTGTTTGTTTGTTTGTTGTTTAACGCCGCAGTCTGTTTGTTGTTTAACGCTGCACTCAGCAATATTCCAGCTATTTGACGGCGGTCTGTAAATAATCGAGTCTGAACCAGACAATCCAGTGATTAACATCATGAGCATCGATCCACGCAGTTGGGATACGAATTGAGATGCATCAACCAAGTCAGCGAGCCTGACCACCCGATCCCGTTAGTCACCTCCCGCGAAAAGCCTAGTCCCATCTAACGGCAAGAATAGGTTTACAAACATGATTCGAGGTGAGGTCAAATGAAACGTCGCGTTATATAGCGACGTGCACGTGTGTGTCTGAGTGGCTGTCTGTCTGTCTGCTTGTGCGGATTACTGCCGGTTTTAGAGCCAGCCCACTGAGACACCATGCCACAGTGTAACTTGGATACCCTACTCAGCCACCGTATGCTAAGTCCGAGCGTCAGGCAGGGTAACAACAAATGCCATCTTTTAACGTCTTTAGGTATGACGTTGTAAGGAGAATATACCGCCGACTTTCCGTTCTAAATTTATAATGAGCCAAATATCATTCAGTGATTGTTCATGCACTCTATTATTAATACACCGATCAATGGACCAGTATGCACACGACTTTCACTCTCAACTCCCTGAGGAGAATACCACTAGATGACTACTATCTGAGACAGAGAGTTCGCCTACCTTGGTGTTCAGTTCAGGTAACTTCCGCCACGGCTCCTCGCTCAAGTCATTGCTGTCTGAAATAGAAGAACAAGACGTCATTGCCGGCAGCAACATCGCCTACGCAGCAAAACCCACGGAGATACGTCAATACAGTCAACAAAAGGTCGAAGTTGCGTTTAGGTTTGCTGCAATTTCAGAGCAAATCAACTCAATGAATCTACTCAGTGAAACGTTTCAACGAAACTACTCCATGAAGTTGAAGCGAACCAATCGACCTCCGACATGCTTTTAAATGAAAAAAAGCTAATTTCATGTCTTCCTTTAAACGCGATCAAGGAACATATTAGGAAAACAAGTGTTATAATGTATGAGTTGGCCAAGCAATGGCCAAGGGACAGCAACACAACCGTGTATGGTCTATATCCATGGTGTTTGATCCAAAAGCCATACTTCCATCGATGCTCCCGAACTTGTCAAACATTTGCTAAACGCAACCAAAGAACGATGCCATGTCGAAACATTGCTCATACTTCGAAATCAAGATCCCTGTCAGGATAAGCACGAATCGGGGCAGCCACTAGATCAGGGTAGTCTCTAGTTCAGGGTAGTCGCAAGTTCAGGATAGTCTCTAGTTCAGGGTAGTCGCTAGTTCAGGGTAGTCTCTAGTTCAGGGTAGTCTCTAGTTCAGGGTAGTCGCTAGTTCAGGGTAGTCTCTTGTTCAGGGTAGTCGCTAGTTCAGGGTAGTCTCTAGTTCAGGGTAGTCCCTGGTGCAGGGTAGTCGCTTGTTCAGGGTAGTCGCTAGTTCAGGGTAGTCTCTAGTTCAGGGTAGTCTCTAGTTCAGGGTAGTTGCTAGTTCAGGGTAGTCTCTAGTTCAGGGTAGTCTCTAGTTCAGGGTAGTCGCAAGTTCAGGATAGTCTCTAGTTCAGGGTAGTCGCTAGTTCAGGGTAGTCTCTAGTTCAGGGTAGTCGCTAGTTCAGGGTAGTCTCTAGTTCAGGATAGTCTCTAGTTCAGGGTAGTCGCTAGTTCAGGAGAGTCTCTAGTTCAGGATAGTCGCTGGTTCTGGGTAAGCACAATTAATATCATTCCCCTCTTCCAACGAGAGGCACGACAAGCACACTAAGACGATCCCTGCCTGGTGAAGCGACTCACAGATCGGGACGTAATGTTCAGTGCTGATCAAAGCCCATGGCTCACATTGATGAAAGGTTTTATTCGGTTTTCTATATATAGACCCATCTTCATGTAGGTTCCGTGTACTTAAAGCACTGGGAATCACTGAAGACGGCCCTTTTATCTAATCACATAGCGGATCTGCCCTCAACATAGAACTGAGAGAAACGAGAACTAGCAAGTCATTTTACTGAGTGTAATTGGTATACCAAACTGTATGTTTGTTGGTTGGTTGTTTAACGCCAGACTCAGCAATATTCCAGATACAATACGGCGGTCTGTAAATATTCTAGTCAGGCCAGACAATCCAGTAATTGACATCATGAGCATCGATCTAGGGCAACTGGGATACGATGACATGCATCATCCAAGTCAGCGAGACTGACCACCCGATCCTGTTAGTCGCCTCTTGCTACTGATCTTCACGGGTCCACGGCTGCAAGTGTAAGTGGTTTGTAGAGATGATTCCCTATATCTGTACCAATGTCCAGGGAAACCAGCAGACCCCACTGAACCTTAGTGCGGACTCAAACCCGGACCATCGTCATAACAGACTGACACCCTGACCATTCGACCACCCAGCCAATATACATTTACCGCATATTCCCAACACCACGATACAGAATGAATTAATAATTGACAACAGCATACGTGAGGACAATTCCAGCAATTGTGCTCATTGCGTCCCAAGAGAGGGAACTATTATTTCTCTTTTACGTTTTTAAGAATGGACTGAATAACTTTCCCTCGCGGCTCCACGGCTCACAATGGCGCACGCGAAACCGGGGAATGGTTTGCAGCGTTTCTTGCATTAACTAATTCTGCAGGCAATTATTCCACGGAATAATATAGGCCGTTTGTCCCCGAAGACAAGCCAACAAATGTATTACCTCATCTGAATATTCTCCGCGCGCCGTTAGCCTCACCTCCAACTATGAAATCCGTCCACGGCATACTAATGTAAGACTCTGTCATAGTAATGCACGGTGGAGACACATTGGTTATCGCCTAGAGGATATAGAAAAGTTAATGTGAGTAATGACACATGACTCGTATGATAATAACCAGCTGTATATAACGCCAAGGCGGCGTACCTTCCGCTGTAACAGGAGGATATAATGTAGGGCGCCCAACCACACCTCATCCTGCCCGCGTCATCCATCCCCGCCGATACCAACTAATTCAACATGACATTTAACAAGAGGATTAATGCCCTTTTCTGAATACCCGTATTAAGTCACTTATATTTGCCTACAGGGGAAATGCCCATATTCAACAGCATGGCTTTTGTAATTACAGTTCCTGTGTTTTTTTATATATAAGATTTGCTGACTACGGACAGAGTTCTGTTGGAGACAGTTTTGGTAATCTGGAACAGAGCCACGCCCTCCACTGCCCCGGGGGACGGGCTTCTGGTGATAAATCTCCCGTATGGTACCAGACTTGATCGACGGCAGGCTGAAGCCATAAAAAGCTCCATAGTATGATTACATTGCTTTGGTATGGGCAGGTTGAGTTCCGTTGATGGCAGCTAATACCTCAGTTCAGAGGTATTATCTGAGTTGGTTAATATGAAGAGGTTTCCTGTGTTGGATGCAGTAGTTTATTCTGAAGCCATCTGACGCCGTGGTTTATGCCTCTAATTCGGTTAGGCTAATATTTGTTATGGGGCTATACGTTACTTTAGTTATGTCTGTTCTTTACCATACCGACCCCTAGCAACTGTCGAGGTGAATATCAGAGTACCCACGTCAGACCCTGAATGTCACAGTTTAATAAAAGTGTCAGATTCTTTATTGAGTCATATCCTCAACGTATAGAACATTGGATGCTGATCCTACACATAAGACAACCATTCCGCCACAAAATAAAAATCCAATTCGAATTGTTTTCTTCTGATTGAAAAGAATCTATCCACGCATTGATTAACCTAGGGATGCTTTAGCCATCAATCTACATGATGCGTCTACTCTGTCAGACCCCATCCTTTCAGTGTAGGGGTGCATGTCTGCCTTACTGTCAGTATAGTATCGCTGGCTGGTCTGGGGGGCTTGTTGCGCTGGGCTGGTATCGACAGTGAATGTCAGTGTCCACTTAACCTGATTGAACCGCCGTACTCTGCATGTCGGACACTAGTTTTGAAGGTGGGGTTAAGGTTGAGGGGTTGGTTAGGGAAGGAGTTTGGTTAGGGCAGAAGAAGGGGTTAACAATTGGAGTGGAGTCTAGGGTTGGGTGATGTAAGGAGTTGGGATCCGGGTAGGGTGGGACGGGTTGAGGATGGGAATGTGGCTGGGAGTGGGTTCCGAACTGGGAGGTTGGGCTAGGGCTGGGGTGCCGAAATGGGTTAGAGGCAGGGTCAGGGCTGAGGGTTGGGCTAGGACAGGGGTGTGGAGATGAGGCTAGAGGAGGGGTAAGGCTTGGGTGAGCGCGCGTCATATCGATCTCGACACGGGTCAGGAATGTAGCCACAGGTCGGGAGGCTGACAGGAGATGGAAAGATTCAGTGTACGAATTGGACACCAACCTCTACATACATAGATCAACACGACGGCGCTGTGAGCAAACAAACACCAACCTCTACACACATGGAGAGGATGTTCTGTTTCAAGGTTACGGGCGTTGGAGTTTCAAGAAATGACCATGATGGCAGATTGACGAAGAGTTAAGCATTGAAAAACGAGAATCCTACGTACTGATTGAATCTATTTGAAAGTTTCATCTTTGCATGCGTATTGAGGTGTTTTATGTACTCCCTATGTATTCCAGTCAGGTCAGTTTGGGCATGAATGTAATAACGTGTCTTGTCAGTAGGACGCAGATCTATTGGCGTCACGTTAACTCATGGCTTTCGACCAGGACACCGTTCCACGAAGCGATCTTAGCGCTACGACTATCGTAAGCCAGTGTTAAAGTATGGGAGTTACGATCACCTTAGCGGTAAGATTACTTTGTGGAACGGGGCCAGGAGAATAATTCAACACTGATACGTGAAAGTCGGGATCTCTACAGAAAATGGTTGAAGTGATCTCGTATTACATAATATACTTATCCATTATCAATGTCAGTTTGTGACAGTTTGCGCTAAAGTGGTCGAGATGCCAAACCATCCCTAAGATCCTACATACCTATACATGACAACTACTTTATTGTTTGTGTGCAAACGTAGCGAAGGTTCCCTCGACGAAAGTGCTATCATATATATGAACGATCAGGAATGTTGGTATATTCACTAATAGAAATAATCAAAAATATATTGAAATCAATGGTTGCACTTTCAGATATATTCAGACCTTGCCGTATACACGCCACCGGCATGCGGTCAGTGAGAAGTGCAAGAAGCCGGAGTTGTGTACCTGTGACAAACCACAAAATAGCAGCTACAAGATATAGGGTCACACCCAGTGTCAGTACACTACAGTAAACTACGTTTATAACGAACACACTTATAATGAACTGACCGATTTAACGAAGTTATGTTTTAGTCCCGGCCATTTGTTGTACATTTGTATATATGCTGTATATATGTGTGCGTTTGTGTGTGTGTGTGTGTGCCTTTGTGTGTGTGTGTGTGTTTTGTTTGTTTGTTTGTTTGTTTTTGTGTGTGTGTGTGTGTGTGTGTGTGTGTGTGTGTGTGTGTGTGTGTGTGTGTGTGTGTGTGTGTGTGTGTGTGTGTGTGTGTGTGTGTGTGTGTGTGTGTGTGTGCTGTATATATGTGCGTGTGTGTTACAGGGAATATGTATAATCCCTGAAATTTTCAGTGAATATATTTAATGTCTGATTCACTCAGGGAATTTACATAATCCCTAAAAACTTTCAGGTATTATACATAAAAAAGTTCGTTCGAGGAAGAATTCAACAATGTCCACTGTAAATACCCGTATAAAACTATACACACATTTCAAGC